ATAAAATATTAAATAGAACTATAAGATATTAAACAGAACTGTAAGATATTGAATAAAACTAAACAGAACTGTAAGATATTAAATAGAACTAAATAAAACTATAAAATATTAAATAGAACTATAAGATATTAAACAGAACTGTAAGATATTGAATAAAACTAAACAGAACTGCAAGATATTAAATAGAACTAAATAAAACTAAAATATTAAATAGAACTATAAGATATTAAACAGAACTGTAAGATATTAAATAGAACTAAACAGAATTATAAGATATTGAATAGAAAGGGAGGAGGTTGGGAGTAAGAACTGTATAGGAACTTTTAAGATAAGGTGTATAGTTTTATTCAATATATTACAGTTCTATTTAATATATTAAAGTTCTATTCAATATCTTATAGTTTTATTTAATATTGTAATATACAGTTCTATCCAATATCTTAGTTTTATTTAATATATTACATTTATATCAAGTATTTTAGTTTTATTCAATATATTACAGTTCTATCCAATATCTTAGTTTTATTTAATATATTACTTTTATATCAAATATTTTATAATTTTATTCAATATCTTAGTTTTATTTAATATATTATAGTTCTTTTTAATTTAATATATTACATTTATATCAAATATTTTATAGTTTTATTCAATATCTTAGTTTTATATAATATATTATAGTTATATTTAGTTTTATTCAATATCTTATAGTTTTATTTAATATATTACAGTTCTATTCAATATTTTATAGTTTTATTCAATATCTTACTTTTATATAATATATTATAGTTCTATTTAGTTTTATTCAATATCTTATAGTTTTATTCAATATCTTAGTTTTATATAATATATTATAGTTCTATTTAGTTTTATTCAGTATCTTATAGTTTTATTTAATATATTATAGTTCTATTTAATATCCTTTTGTAAGGGTGGAAATTGGGAGTTTAATTAGTAGGAAAGTTACGGTGATTTCATTTCTACTTTATAAGAAATTTAAGGGTAACTGCCTTCCCACAACTGGCTGTAGACAGTGAAAGGCAGTAGAAGCTGAGACATTGTGGGTGTAAGCACTCAGCTTTCTACACTTATTTGATTTTCCACGACAGCTGACAAGATTAACATCAGCGTTTGGAGATTGTCTGATAGATGGAATATTTCCAGTACATTTTGTGTGTTATTATCACAGACATTATCCGTTATGAGAATGTGTTGACAATCTGGACCGGTAACGGTACTGTGATATATACAAACATTTAAATTGCTAAGTTCTCTACTATTACTTAACGAATGGATACTTTTATAGAACTGTAAGTCTATTTGCACGCCATACCTCACCTGTTTTCAAAATAACGAAGAGATACACATGTAAAGTTATTGATTTAACACTTTATTTCAATTTCATGGCCAATATCATTATTGTAAATACTATAATAAAAGTCAAAAAGAATAGGTTAGTTTACCAAAAAAACATAAAATGTTTTATATGTGCGAGAAACACATATTACTATATTACTTCTGTTTTAATGTAAATCAACAGAAAGAGACAATATCATGTCGTAAAGATTAAAATCTATTACTGTTATCAATATTTTTTCAACATATTCAACAGGTTTTTTTAATGAAGCAAGCAGCAGCAGACCATCACAGCCATCTTCTTGAAGAAATGTTTTCGAAGAGGAAGATACGGTTAATTTAATAATTTCTACGCAATAGGGGTATAAAATAATCTTTTCAGAATTTACCACTTTTTAAATATTTGGTGAAGCCAACTGATTTTTATTATTTTTCCCGAGTCATTTAATCGATGTATCAGTGGAAATATATATATATATATATATCGTACAACTCCAACTGCTTTTGGTAGACAGCCGAGATACCGATCAAGTAGTTGTTCCAGGTTCCCACACATGGTTTTAACCGGTAGTCCAATCACTGTGCTCGTTTCAAAATTGGAGCACGTTATATGCGAGGGAGGAAGTTGAGCAGAAAGCACAGCCCATAGAAGAGTGATAGAAGCGAGAAGAGATAGTAAGATAAAAAGGAGGGGGGGGGGAGAAGAGAACGGAAGAAAGGGAACTGTATGTGCACCAAGAGGCGTCTTGTCTACACAAGCTCGAAAATGGGGAGGAGGAGACGCCGTCCCCCTCACTTTTGTTACACGTCACGAGGAGGAGGGCGCGCACGCGTTATTGATTTTCTACAGCAAATTTTCCGTGAACTGTCGATGAAGACAAGGCCAACCAACGTCGTCACATGGGAAGAACCACTACAGATCCTACTTGACAAGAATTTGGGACGTTTTGTAGCACAACACCCCATACAACCTTAAGTGGTTGTCAATACAAATATCATGGCTTAAGAGTGTTAGTTAGGTAGCTCTTCGATGTCACAAATACATAAAGAAACAGAATCATCTGTCTCTCCCTCGATTTCCGTGCTATTAAACCCCTAGTTCGTGGCACGTGTAAGCTCTGAGAACTAACAGCTCTGACACGTTTTGTAGAAGAAAAAGAAGTCTGTTCGTCATACTGAGGTAAACAGTATGTAAAAAAAAAAGTATTCCTAACCTACAAAAACGAGTGCAACAGTTTATCCAGAGATGAAATATTAAAAGAGCCCTCACAGGATTCAAACTATCACCAATTTTTATGATTATTGAATTTTAGCTAAACACTGAATAGTATAGATTTTTTTTTCTTCGATAGCCAGCTGGACGAGCCATTATTCCTTAATTTTGAAGTGTTTGTTTGTTTGTTTTGAATTTCGCGCAAAGCTACACGGGGGTTATCTGCGCTAGCCGTCCCTAATTTAGCAGCGTAAGACTAGAGGGAAGGCAGCTAGTCATCACCACCCACCGCCAACTCTTGGGCTACTCTTTTACCAACGAATAGTGGGATTGACCGTAACTTTATAAGTCCACACGGCTGAAAGGGCAAGCATGTTTGGTGTGACGGGGAGTCGAACCCGCGACCCTCAGATTGCGAGTCGAGTGTCTTAACCACCTGGCCATGCCGGGCCAATTTTGAAGTGACAGATTAAAGGGAAGACATCTATAGTTCATATCACTTACCGCTAACTTGTAGGGAACTCTGACCAACTAGTGAGATTTGACCATCACACTTGTAACGGACCCATCGATCAAAGTGCAGGGCACGATTTGTTTCTGAATGTGTGGGGCGATAACGGGAATGAACAGTGGGTGAAAATAAATCAAACAGTCGCGAGAGCGGGTAATAAAATATGTTGATAAAAAAAAACAAAAAACGTTACCTCTGTAAATTAATTCACAGTTGTGTGTATCTAGGTTTATTTGGTTTTGATCTCCTGCCACAATTAAAACAAATTAATGTATTTAAATTTTGCTTGGCGTCTCTTAATTCCCAAAGCATAGCAATGAAAAAAAAAATTCAAAAGTATTCAAATGTGGGATAAAGGGATGTTAGGGGTTGGACCTAAGACAACTGACAAGAATATGTAATAGATCATTAAAAAATATTAAAGTTTATTTTTCCGAAATGTTCATAATGAAGTACCATAATGAAAATGTTTGAGAAGCTGTCAGGAATTCACACGAAAATTGGCACGGACGGACGTGTAAACCAAGGACCTACTTTTAGATTTTGGACAATTTTCAATTCTTCCTCCCCACAGTGGGGGGGGGGGGGGGGCACGCATAATTAGCTTCACTGATTTGGCAGAAAATTGATAAGAATGTGTTAAGTGGTCCTTTAAACTAAGTTTAGCAAGTTCTTTTTTTTTTTTTTTTTTTTTTTGGTACAGTTGTTTTCCGTGAATTTTCACAAGGGATTTACTGGTATTAAGGAATGTATAGTTTAGTGCATGCAGAAATAATGAGAGATGAAACTAAATTAATCAAGTTTTTAACAACTTGTTTCATGACCACATTCACTTCTTGTCAAGGTTAATTAATCGAACCAACGTACAGAAAATGTCAAAGGTTATAACACAAATTGGCAGGCGTTTAATG